AAAAATCAAATACTTTAGGAAATAGCATAAAGCCTGCCTAAACATGTAGGTGAGACATGTCTGTCTGTCCACTGTCACTCCATGGGTGTGTCTCCCTCCACAGTGGTTCCTTTGGCCATTGTCTAGTTGCATTCCTTGTTACTCTAGTTCTTGACTTCACAAGAAGACTTGGGCTAAAGGGAAAATGTTAAGGCTGGGCATGGTGGCTCCCCTGTAACTCCAGCACATGGGATGCTAAGGCAGGAGGAACAAAACAAGCCAATAATAACTCACTCTCTAATGTCTTTTTCCCCCAAGTACTTTCTCTTAACCCTCATGCTTAGTATCTACGGGTTTGTGGTTGTTTTCCAGACAGTCTCACTCTGTAGACCAGGCTGACTGAATTCAGAGATCACCTGCTTCTGGCCTCCAAGTGCTGGAATTAAAGATGTGAGCCACCACACTGGGCTTGCTTAACATGGTATGTTTTTTGTTTTTTTTTTAAATGTACATTGGTGTTTTGCCTGCATCTATGTCTGTATGAGGGTGTCAGATCTTGGAGTTACAGACTATGATGAGCTGCCATGTGGGTGCTGGGAATTGAACTCAGGTCCTCTGGAATAGCAGTCAGTGCTCTTAACTGCTGAGCCATCTCTCCAGCTCATCAATATTCTTTAATAAACTCTAAAGTCAGCTGGCCAGTAGTGGTGACACACGTTGTTAATCCCAGCACTCAAGAGGTAGAGGCAGGCAGATAGATCTCTGTGAGTTCGAGGCCAGCCTGGTTTACAGAGTGAGTTCCTTGACAGCCAAGGCCATTACACAGAGAAACTTTGTCTCTGAAAAACAAAACAAAACAAAAAGATACATGTATACAGAAACAAGGAGATCTCTGGTTTCAAGGTCAGCCTGGTCTATAGTTCCAGGATAGTGAGACTATGTAGAGAGACCCTGCCTCAAAAAATACTGTGGCTGGGTGGTGGTGGTGGTGGTGGTGGTGGTGGTGCACACCTTTAATCACAGAGGCAGGTGAATCTCTGAGTTCGAGGCCAGCCTTGTCTACAGAGTGAGATCCAGGACAGGCACCAAAGCTACACAGAGAAACCCTGGGCGGGGCGGGGGGGATGCTGTGTAGCTATGAGCCTGACACCATAGTAAGAGCTTTACATTAATTAGCTCATTCAATGCAACTTGTGAAGTGACCATCAATCCTATTTTTAAAAAATAATACATACTCATCTGTACCTCAGTGTATATATATATATATATGTGCATCATGTGCATGCAGTGCCTAGGTTAGTCAGAAAAGGGCATGGACCCCTTGGAGCTGGAGTTGGAGCTGGAAGGTGTAAACTGCCTTATGCAGATACCAGGAATGACCCCTGCAAGATCAGCAAGCTCTCTCAGCCACCGGCCATCTCTCCAGCCCCCAGAAATCCCATTTTTTCTGCTGCTTGGGCTTTTGGTTCAAATCGGGTATGATGCTGTCTTCCCTGTGAGGGAGCAGAGCCAGGATCTGCAGGTGGCTCTGAGCGCCCCCCCCCCATTACTCTGGTACTGTCCTTAGACACAGATGCTGCTGACTTCTCTGCAAAACCCCAGAAGCCAAACTGAAGGGCCTGCACCCCACACTGCTGTGCCAAATACTTTTACAAAAACAAAACCGTGAAGAACGGAGGGGTTGTCAGAGGTGAGGGAAGGAAAGGGGGTGGGTACATGTGATCAGGATATGTTATATACACATAGAAAACCAACAAAGTTTGTTTTTTGAGACAGGCTTTCTCTTTATAGCCCTGGCTGTCGTGCAACTCGCTCTGTAGCCCAGGCTGGCCCCGAACTCACAGAGATCCACCTGCCTCCGCCTCCCAAGTGCCGGGATTAAAGGTGTGCACCACCACTCCCCGGCTGTCAAATAATTTTTGAAATCGAGTATTTGGAGTAGAGAAGGAGGGGTCTGGACTTGAGTGAAAACTTGGGTGAGGAAGGTGACTCAGCAGTTGAATGCTGGTATTAAAGGTGCAGGCCACCATGTCAGGCCTCATTTCTCTCTTTGTGTGTGCAGTGCCAGAAGTCAAACCCAGGGCTTTGTGCATGCTAAGCAAGCACTCTCTACCACTGAGCTACCTCCCCAACTTAGGAAGCCTCTTTAACATCAAGGATGTTTGGATTTTATGAAAATGTTCACTTTGTCTGGCATCCCTCCCAGACAGCAAACAACAGCTCATCCCCGATTATTTCCTGAATTTCTTGCCAGCGCCTTAGCCTGTTCATTCTAGACACTTAGAAACAATGAATGGATGGATGATGGAGGTGGTAATATCAGCAAACTGACTCTTAAGAGTTCAAGCCCAGCCTGAGAAATTCCAGAGCACCCTTGAAAAGTAGCCAAAATGAAGTAAAAGGGTATTTGGCAAACAGTGTTTAGGAACCCTTTCAGAAAAAAGAATTTGGAGCTAGGCAAGGTGGCACAGCCTTGGAACCTTAGCACCTGAGGCCAAGACAGACTAGAGTTTGGGGCCAGCATGCACTCTACAGTGAGACACTGTCCCCAAACCAGCACACACAGGGCCAGAGGTGGCCCTTGCAGAAGACCTGAATTCTATTTCCAGCGCCCACCTCAGCAGCTCTCAACCTCCTCTAAGTCCAGCTCCCGGGGATCCCATGCTCCAGCCTCTGAGGGCACCACACTCATGTGCACTTACCCAAACAATACACGTAATTAAAAATAAAATCTTAGCCAGGCATAGTGGCACACACCTTTAATCCCAGCACTGGGGAGGCAGAGGCAGGAGGATCTCTGTGAGTTTGAGGCCAGCCTGGTCTATAGAGGGAGTTCCAGGACAGCCAGGGCTATACATAAACCCTGTCTCAAATAAAGAAATAAATAAAGTTAAAATCTTTTGAAGATTAATAAATACTACAGTAAGACACTCTGCAAACTGAATGCAGCCATTTTCAAGATTTCTCTTAAGGGAAGGACATACAATTTTAAGTTTATCCAAGAAAATACATGTTTCAAAAAAAATAGAAAGTTAGACATGATAGTGCATAGCTATACTCCCAGGATTTGGGGGCTGAGGCAGGAGGATGACAAGCTAAAGGCCTACACACCAGAGGGAGACAGGAGTATCAGGAGCTCCAGGTCACATTTCCTTGGAGGCTAGTCTGGGCTACTTGAGACCCTGTCTGAAAAGAAAACAAAGCCGCGCTGTGAAAGGCCCCACATGAAAGTGTTCTCGGTGTGCCTAGCAACACGTAACTCAGCATTTGGCTGATGTGTTCCCTAAGTGCATGGCCGGGAATAACAGGAGATAAGTAAAGATAGCCCCAACCTGCGTGCCCAGTCTGGGCTGCGGCAGACGTAATTGTTTATTCACTCAGTATTTATATCCTACTCTTCTAAAAAGGGGTTAGAACTGGCTCACACGTAATCAGAAATAACTCGGATACAGAGGATACGGTGACATGTACAAAAAAGGGAAATGCAGAGATTCCATCCCAAAGCCTGGACAGCTTGAAGGGGGAGGATGGACAGGTGGTACTTGAGGGTGAATGTGGCCGGCAGAGGACGGAATGAGCTCACTGCACTCGGCCTCTCCAGCTCTCCGTGTACTAGCAAGCATGATTCACTGTTCAGTCCGAATTAGAAAAGGCTTCCAAGAAAGAAAAGGAAGGGGCACTGAAATACTTAGGGCTGGGCAGGCGCAGGTTCAGGCTACTTCACTGAGCCTCAGTTTCCAAGTCTATAAAACCTAAGAATCCAAGCCAGGAGTGGTAGCCCATTTATCCTGGCAGTACAGGCTTGTGATCCTAGCTACATGGGAGGCAGGGAGATCTCAAATTCAAGACCTGTCTCAAGTAAAAAGAGGACTGTGGGAGACTGGAGAGATGGCTCAGTGGTTAAGAGCATTGGCTGCTCTTCCAGAGGACCTGGGGTTCAATTCCCAGCACTCACATGGTGACTCACAACCATGTATAGTGGGATCTGATGCTCTCTTCTGGCATGCAGGTGTACATGCAGATAGAGCATCATGTTCATAAAATAAATAAATCTTTAAAATGTATTTTTTAAAAAAAGAGGATTGTGAATAAAGCTCCACGGTAGAGCGCTTGCCTGGGTCAATCCCCAATATCCACTGCCTGCCGCGCCGCCCCCCCCTCCTCCCCCCCTCCCGCCACAGAGCTATGTAAACCAAGAGTGAAAATAACTGTCAGGCTGGGATGTGAGGCTAGAGAGATGGCTCACGGGATAAGAGCGCTTGCTGTTCTTGCAGAGGGCCTGAGTTCAGTTCCCAGCACCCTCACGGTAGCTCACAATCATCTGTAACCACAGTTCCAGGGGAGCCAGTGCCCTCTTCTGGCTTCCCTGGGCACTGCATGTACATGGTGCACATAGATACATGCAGATAAAACATCCATACTCATAAAATAAAAATAGTAAAATCTTTTAAAAGAGGGTGGTGAGGGGATATGGTTCATTGGTAGAGTACTTGCCTAACAAGCACAAATCCCCAACACACACAAAGAGCTGTGTAAACCAAGAATAAAAAATCCAGGTAAATCCTAATACTGGCCTTAACCAAATGAAATTAATACAGGACAGAGGAAAAGAATGAGTTAATGGGCCCAAGAACAGGCTCTTCTTTCACACTGAATGGTAATCCCAGCCCCAAAGACATTAGTCCTGTCTGGGTGTGGTGGCACATGTCTTTAGTCCCAACACTCAGGAGGATGAGGCAGGTGGACCTCTAAGTTTGAGACCAGCCTGGTCTACAGAGTGAGTTCCAGGCCAGCCAGGGCTACACAGAGAAACTTCATCTTGGAAGGGAGAGGGAAAAAAAAAAAAAAGACATCAGACTTCCCTTCACCTAAAAGATGTCCCTTTTGCTGGCTACGGTGGCACACACCTATAATGCCAGCCCTCAGAAGGCTGAGGCAGGCAGGCCTCAAGTTTCTCAAGGTCTCCAGGCCAGCCTGAACTACACAGTCTCTCACACAGCCAAGGGGCCTACCCTGTACTGCTGAACCTCTTCATCGCGTTTTTGCCTCAGGAGTGTGATCTGGTCCTCCAGGTTCCTGTTCTGAAGGTGGAGCTGCCGGGCCTCTGCTTGCAGGGGTCTCAGGGCCTCCTTCATCTTCTGGATCTCTGCTTGGGTGTCCTGAAGAGCTTTGGTCCCTGCCTCCTTCCTCTCCAGGAGCCGCAGCAGCTGGGGCTCGTACTCCTCCTCCAGGCCCTGGCGGCTCTCCGCCAGGAGATGTTCAAACTGGGTCGACAGGCGCCGACTCTCCTGGAGAAAGTGCCCATCGCTCTGGGTTGGGGGCGCCTCCAGCTGTTCCTGTAACTGCTCCTTCTGCTTCTGATAGGCCTCTCGGAGCTGGGTCAGTTCTCCGGAGAGCTGGGCTGCCCGGGCGGTCAGCGCTTCCCTGCAGTCGGCAGACTGAGCCACCTCCTGCTGCCGGCACTCCAGCTGGTATTGGTAGGCCACACATTCCTTGGTCACCTTAAAAAGCTTCTGCTTCACCATCCGGATCTCTTCCCTGAGCCCATCCCGCTCCAGTTCGGCCTGCGCGTGCAGCTTGTAGGCATCCAGGATGTCGTGGTGGACCTGCTGCACCTCCTGCAGGGCCGGTTCCCGGAGCAGCACCAGCTCGTGGATGAGCTGGTCCCTCTCCTCTTCCAGCTGGGATACAGCTTGCACACATTGCTGGAAACGGACTTCCAGCAACTCCAGGTCCTCCACGCTGAGGGGCTCCTCCTCCGTGCTGGGACTCAGTGGAGCTGGAAGCCTTTCCTCCGTGGCCACCGTCTCTCCCTCACAAGCAGTCTGCTCTGGGCTTGGGCTCTTAGCTGGCCCCACAGGCTCCTCTGGAAATTGCTCCTCATCTGGCCTCACAGGTTCCTCCACAAGCACGGTCTCCTCTGGACTCACCGGCTCTTCCAGGTCCAGAGCCTCCTCTGGCTGCCTCGATTCTTCGATAAACAGTGTCTCCTCTGGCTTCTCAGACTCTCCCACACAGAGACTCTCTTCAAAGTCCACCGAGTCCCCCAGATAGAGAATATCTTCTAGGTTCACAGTCCCCTCCAAAGATAGAGTGGCCTCTGGGCTGAAAGTCATGGCCTCCTTGGGGGATTCGGAGTCCTGGCGAGGAAAACTGGCCTCTGTACCCGGTTCCCTGCGGGAGAGATGATGGACAGTGAGAGGGCAGCCCAGGTCCCATTGATGTGTCAACAGGGCCTCCACCTCAGGGCTAGTTGCAGCTGGTTTTCAGTCTCTCATCTACTCCCTTCACCCATCTGCCTCTTCCACACACAGCCTGCTGTTCGCATTCCCTGAGGACACCACAACGCCCCTGGCTAGTCTCTGTTTATGTCACTTCAGGCACAGGAAACGCTCTCAGACACCGCCAGGTGTTCCACAGGTCTGCACATCTGGGGCTACAGAGAAAACCTGTCTTGGGGGTTGGGGATTTGGCTCAGTGGTAGAGCACTTGCCTAGCAAGCGCAAGGCCCTGGTTTCGGTCCTCAGCTCCGGGAAAAAAAAAGAAGAAAGGCTGTCTTGGAAAACAAGCGTGATGATAGTGCATGCCTGCAATACCAGCACCTGGGAGATGAGAGGCGGTCAGGAGTTCAAGGCCACTCTCAGCCTCTTAGAGTTTGAGGCCAACCTGGTTTCATGAGAATCTGCCCCCCCCACACACACTCACAAAGGGGGTTCAGGGAATGGCTCAGCAGATAAAGGCACTTGCCACCAAGTCCGATAAACTGAGCTCAATCCTTGGCGTCCAAATGGAGAGAACCAATTTCTACAAGTTGTCCCAGGAGTGCATACATGCACCAAATAAATAAGTAAATATTGAAAGGGCGGGGAGAGGTGCTGGATAGATG